TGATGGTGGCACAGGAGTTAAGTACTTGCCCCGTAATCAGAAGGCTGGAGATTCGAGCTCTGCTCAGTCTGTCGCTGTCGCGGTGTCCTTGGGCAAAACACCCTTCCTCGATCAGATCTCTCAGGTCTGGAGCAAGACACTTGACCCACTTTGCCTGCTGGTGGTGTTCGGAGGGACCGGTGGCGCCTGTGTGCCCGAGCCACCTCAACTTGCTCCTCTCGACGTGGAGGAGCAGCGGGTCTACTCCAAGCCCCTCCCGGATGACTGAGCTTCTCACCCTATCTGAAAAGGAGAGCCCAGCCACTCTGTGGAGAAAACTCATTTTGGCCTCTTGTGAAGTTAGGAATGTCATCAACTGGTAAATCAAAGCTTTGCCCTCCAGCTCAGCTCTCTCTTCACCACGACGGATCGGTACAGAGCCCGCATCACTGCAGATGCAGCACCAATCCGCCTACTGATCGATCTCACACTCTATTTTTCCCTCACTCGTAAACAAGACTCCACGATACTCAAACTCCTCTACTTGACCTCGTTCCTGACCTGGAGAAGGCATTCTACCGTTTTCGGATTCAAGTGTCATGGGCTGAGCTGAGCTAACCTCTGTCTGGTCTGAGTCTTTCTGTTTGCAGGTGGGTGTGTCCCAGAGAGCAGCTGCTGTGAATCTTCTCATCAGAGGTCAGGGGATTTAAGGAGCGGCGTGACAACTCACCAGTGCCGGATGATTACTCAGTATTGGGTAGTATCTCGCCTGTACTCTGCCTGTCTCTGACTTGTTGTCTCCTGTGTTCCCTGCTTGCCTTGTACTTACCTGCCCTGTTCCTCCGACTCCCCCCAGGTACCTCTCGTTCATTTGACTGCACTACTCTTCAAGAAAGAAACTTCCGGAATCACCCTGCCTGCCAGCCACGCCGCTCACCCTGACCGCCTGCTCTCCAACGCTCACCTGCCCCGCTCGGATACTTTGGATTCCTGCGCTCACCTCCAGCCATCATCTCTGCCCCTCACAACCATCTCGCTCAGCCAGACCTGACTCGCCCTCCTCTCAAGCTCCCCAAACGCTCTGGAAACCGTAAGCCTCCTCTCACCTCGTTTATTTGAATTTTCCTGCAACTACTCATTGTTTCTGCTACAGAACACTATTGGACCCTCCCGAACCCCAGACCTTCACCTGCACTTCTACCAAACAAAATACTTTTTTTTTTTTTTTACTTACCTTTGCCTCCGTGGTGATTCTACATGTCGTGGGTCAAAAAACTACACCCCAACATGACATCAAGACCATGGTCTTGGATTTAGGGGAGCTGATTCTAATCTCAGCCGCTTCACACTTGAACCATAGCCTCAGTTAAAAAATGGCCATGTCTATAATTGTGAGAGCAACATGTGAGCACCTGTGTGTGTACACACGCTTGAATATGTAAGGTTTCTCTATAGGAGTGTCCAATAGTGAGTGTGAGGGGCCACAGACCTGCCCCTAAAGACGTGCAGTAGATGGAAGAGTTCCAAGTCCCAGAGATCCAAGGCTCTGCCCAGAGCGCAGAAAGCCCAGGGTGACAGCTGCCGGAGATACATTCAAAGTCCTATTTTCACCATGTAATTCATACATTTATAAACGTTAAAGTTTCCAAATAAATATTTAGTTAGCAAGCTAAATATTTAATTCATAGTTAAATATTTCTTTTGCAAACTAAATATTTAGGTCTGATCTAAATATTTAGTTTGTAAAATATTAAATTCACTAACTAAATATTTAATTTCCTAATTAAATATTTATTTTGAAACTAAATATTTAATTTGTAAATTAAATATTTATTTTCTGAAAATTTTTAGATCCCAGCTAAATATTTATTTTTGGAGCTAAACACTTAGTTTGCAAAATCAGTATTTGGGAAATATTTAAGTCTGACCCAAAAATATAGAATATAGTGTGGAGCTAAATAACATCGTGGAAAATAAATATTTAGCGGGTACTTAAACATTTAGCTAATATGCAAATTTGCTTGCCAATGAACGGAAGTCGGTTACCAAAATAAAAGCTGGATCTCGCTAACCTAACCTCTTTATAAACTCTTGCTCCGAACCAGAACTTGTTTTATCTCCAGCTCTATTCTTCTTCAGCCAACTCGTCGGACATGTTCAGAAGAATAGAACCGGAGATAAAACAAGTTCTGGTTCGGAGCAAGAGTTTATAAAGAAGTTAGCTAGATCCAGCTTTTATTTTGGTAACCACCTTCCAATTATTGACAAGCAAATTTGCATATTAGCTAAATATTTAAGTACCAGCTAAACATTTATTTTCCACTATGTTATTTAGCCCCACACTATATTTTTTATTTTTGGGTCAGGCTTAAATATTTATTTCCCAAATACTGATTTAGCAAACTAAATGTTTAGCTCGAAAATAAATATTTAGCTGGGATCTAAATATTTATTTTGGAAAATAAATATTTAATTTACAAATTAAATATTTAGTTCCAAAATTAATATTTAATTAGTAAATTAAATATTTAGTTAGTGAATTAAATATTTATTTTACAAACTAAATATTTAGATCAGACCTAAATATTTAGTTTACAATATAAATATTTAACTACAAATTAAATATTTAGCTTGCTAACTAAATATTTATCTTGAAACTTTAACATTTATAAATGTATGAATAACATGATGAAAATATGACTTTGAAAAAGTGAACTCCCAATTTTTTTCTTATGATATGCTAAATAATCAAAAATATTGCTGTTAGATTGTGACTGTTTGACTTTACAAATGGCACCCCATAGAATGATGCCCTCTTGTGGACATAAACCAGGACTTCGCCTTTATCCTGGTAAACTATTGAGAAGAGAACATTTCAGTCTTTCTGTCTGAATAAAGCTGGAAAAATATCTTTTTGAGAATATAATCATGACGGGGTAAGAAAAAAAAGGCAAGAAGCACATTTTACAAAATTGTAGACGTTACATCGTAGGATGAGTCATGTTTTTTTTTTTTTTTAGAAAAATTAAACAGCAAAGTAGTGTCAAAATGTTGAACCCATCCAGCTACAGTCCATCAAAACAAGAGTTTATTTGACTTTATTGAAATGAAGAGATGAAATGATGCCCTCTTGTGGAATCAATGAAGAACTCTTTGATTCTGGTAAACTGTTTAGAATGAGAACATTTCAGCCTCCTTTATCGAATTACTCTGGAAAATCTGGGAGCTCCATGAAAGAAGCAGCAGAAACCTGGTTCCAGCTGAAAGTGTTGCAGTCTTGCTGGCTCTGATGTCAGAGAGATGGATCATCATGTCCTGAAGAAGTCTGGAGCCCTTTGAGCTCACTGAAGATCAGAAACTTCCTCCTTGCTGTGCATTTGTCTTTTTAACAACGTAAACGTCTCCTCAGCCTCCATTGATGTATACAGGAGTGATTCATCACTAAATTACACAAACCAGCTGTGTTCATGATCCAAAACATACAGCGCCAGGTACGTCAGCTCAATTTAGTGGACTTTCATCAACCAAGAGTCATTTTAGCACATACTGGCTCAAGAAAATGATTTAAAAATACCGGTATGAAAAAAGTCTCAAAGTATCACTTTAAAATGAATTTTTGTAGCACTCTGCTTCATGTTCAATAAAATAAGTTATTTATAAACATTTGATATTATATACAATTCAGTTTTGTACACAATTTTGCATAATTTCTGGTAATAAATTAATTTAAGAAACAAAACATGTTTGAAAGTCAAAAGTGAGCCGAGCCAAGCACCGAGCCGGAGTTCCCATCCAAGGGCGCCCCAAAGGGGTGGCCAGGGTGGCAAATTGCTGGCCCCTCCAGGAAAAGCCAGTGTTAATAATTCATATTAATCTTTAGTCAAACCATGAATTGATCTTGTTTATTCATTACATAATTAAACAAAATAAAAATAACACAATGAGTAAAGAAATAATCAGAGCATGTATATGTGTGTGTGTGTGTGTGTGCTTCTGTTGCTCGCCATTTTAACGTTTTTTTATTTTCATAGTTTTTGTAAACACAGCAACACAGGTGAATGAACCTAAATACATTTTTAAATAAAATTTGGAAAACATTTTAAATAACTGAGCTGTATTTTTCTGAATTGTTGGTGTTTGCAAAATGTAAGTGAACGTCTCTTTTCGGAGTATTTCTCTTATCCGATGGCACCATCTAGTGGCTGACAAGCATATCACACAAAAACTCTGTTCCTCTGTGTTTTTTAAGATGACAACTTCACGCTTCTTGTTTATAAATGAGCTTCTGTAGCCGACACACAGCTAAAACACGCTGTTTTACGAGTATTATTCTCACGTCCTGTTGTGTTCTCATATATTTATATTTTAGAGACTTTCTTGTCCGTGAAAAGTTCATCAACGCTGGATCAGCCAAGGTACTCCTTAAATTTGAAGCATCTAAGCAGTAGTCTAACGCTATTGGTTAGTTCTAGTCGGTGCTCAGTTTCCTGTTGCATGGAGCTCTGCGGGGCATGGGGTGTGCTTAACAAAAAAAATAAATAAATATATTTTTTTAAAGACGCATTGTTTACATTTTATCACAGTACATGATACGAGAATCACTTTTACATATTTCTGAAAAACCATACATAATTTCTGAAAGTAGAAAACTCTGGAAAGCTACTTTAAATGTTTTGGATATGGACTTTTTAAAAATAAAAATAAAAACGAATAAAGGAGCAATACATCGCCACAGGCTAAACTCTCCCAGAGTTACCACAAGGACCAATGTGGTGTGCCACCCCAAAAATTCCTGGCCCCATCTGGCCACCCCATCTAAATTTTCTGGAGGCGCCCCTGTTCCCATCACTAAAATAACTTGTTTCCAGCGGAAAGTTAATCACCCGTGCTCGCAGTAAAATCCAGGTGGTGACTTTGTTTTGACTGGGCTGCATCAATAAATTCAGTATTTTTGCGCGGAGTCACACTGTAAGCAAACCAGTGAGTCGTGTGGCGGACGGATACGTCACTCCGCCTGTTGATGGCGCCGTGCCCTCTTCCAGCGCGTCAGGTGTGTGAGGTAACAGTAGCCTGCAGGTGTGTGAGTAGCAGACCGTCTCATCAGCGCTCAGGTGAGTAAGACATGATGGAAACTACTTTGGCAGAAGCGGATTTCTCCACATGAAACATAAACTTCCACAGACAAGATGATTGCGTACTATTTTACAGCGGAGCAGCTTCTGCTAGGTGGACCTGTCACAGGTAGAAAGCAACAAGCGAGGCCCTACCAGTAACTAAGTGTTCAATAGGCCGTTTGAGTTCGTGTCCAGCAGGTAGCGCCCACCACGACTGGGACATGTTTCTGTTCACCTGAGGCACATTATTTCTGTTACAGTGAAGTTTTTTTTTGCATAGAAACTTAATTAAAACGCGTTACGTCATCAAATTACCGTAAGGACAGAGTTGACTGAGCATTTCATTTACCCTAAAATCTTTTGTTTGCGTTTATTTCTAATTCTCAATGACCAACAATTTGAAATAGCCTCAAACTTTCATCTGACTGAGGTTCTGCAACCTTTGGAGGTGTGTCCAGGCCTGGTCCTCAAGATCCCTTATTCAGCATGTTCAATCTAGATGTTTCTCTGTTTCACGTCACCTGATTTAAATCACGTGTGATTAACAGGCCTCTGCAGAGTCTGATGAGCTGCTGAACAGGTGTTTCAGCCACTGAATCAGCAGGGAAACCTATAAAACATGCTGGATAGGAGATCTTGGAGCCTGGCCTGCAGACTTTTCCTGTTTAATTCTGCACAGAGAATGATTGGGAGGAGGAGGATGATGATAATGATGATGAATCATTCTCTGTGCAGAATTAAACAGAAGACGAGTCCGGCAAGCCAGGCTAGAGATCTAGGGTTGGACCAGGGTTGGACATACCTGCTTTAGAGATATGTGCATAATTTGGAGTCATTTGGTCTTAAACTTGGTTTTAAATGTGTTGAAAATGTAACATAAACTCTTTTACCCTCATTACCTAAATTTGTGTGTGTGTGTGTGTGTGTGTGTGTGTGTGTGTCTAGGAGTCTAATTTGAAGTAAGTTATCCCCTTTCATCAGAACTCTTCTGTTCTTCAGCATTTATCCTGATTATCTAAGAAGTCGGTGTAGCTTTCAACATCAGATTCACTACATCTGTACATAAATTAATATAAACTTATTCCTCCTCCTGTTTTGAACCAGTTTACAAATAAAAACAAACCCAGCATTTAGTCAGGCCCGTCGGATGTCACGATGAAATCCCAGATCAGCGTTTTGAGCTCTGACTCAGGATGAGTCCTCTCCTCCAGCTTCTGCCTCCAGCACAGAAACCAATCTGAAAACTATTTTTTGATTTCCAGCAGAGACTTGAATAATCCTTCCATTCCTATCAGCAGCTGGTCACAGCAGATATTTATTAAACGTTTTCTCCTTCATCTGAAATGGAGGTAGAGCTGTCTAACTGCAGTTTCTCTACACTGTCCGGTTGGAATCTACATAATAAAAATCTATTTTAAGCACCGATCTGCTGCAGGAATCAAAAAAGGAGAAGAATTCTGACCTCCAGCATCATCCAGCCTGTAACGTGCATTTTAGTTTTTCTTGAAAGGGGAGTTGGGATTGGTACCCATCAGCTGCTTCTGGAGTCCCACAGACCAAAAAGACCCTATAGGACCTTCTTCAGCTTGACTGCATCCCTAACCGTTGGTGGCACCGACAACCCAGCACCCACAGTTCTGGTCGGCCGCCTCAACAATGGAGGCACGGGACACAGCCCACTCTGACACAATTTCCCCCGCCTCCCCGGAACATTTTGGAAGTTCTGTCAAAGTTGAGAATTGAAACTTCTTCTGACAGGAGACTCCACTAGACGTTCCCAGCAGACCCTCACAATACGTTTGGGCCTGCCTGGTCTGACCGGCATCCTCCCCCACCATCTGAGCCAACTCACCACCAGGTTGAGTTGACAGCTCCGCCCCTCTCTTCACCCGAGTGTCCAAGACATGCGGCCGCAGGTCAGGTGAAACGACAACAAAGTCGATCATCGAGCTGCGGCCTAAGGTATCCTGGTGCCAAGAGCACATCTGGACACCTTTGTGTCTGATCATGGTGTTTATTATGGACAATCCATGACTGGCACAGAAGTCCAATAACAAAACACCACTCGAATTCAGATGAGGGGGCCGGTCCTCCCAACCACACCTCTCCAGGTCTCACTGTCGTTGCCCACGTGAGCGTTAAAGTCCCCCAGCAGAACGAAGGAGTCACCGGAAGAACCACTTTCCACAGGAACGACTGTGTCCATTTATATGATTCATCACTGTAAAAAAGTATAAATCTATTTTCCTTGAGGACCCCCAACTCCTACACGTGTTAAACGTGATCCTTTACACACTATTCGACGTACAGAGGTTCAACTTTTGTTTTGGGTTTTGATTGTACTGTAGGGTGTGTTATTGGGATTTTAGGAATATAATTCTTACGCTAACCTCAGCACAGACAAAACTGTGGAGACCCCATTGGGGGGTCCCAGGCCCCCGCTTGGGTGACCCGTGTCTGTTTTCTAAATGTGTTTCAGTACGCTGACCTGTCCTGTTTTCCTTCAGAATCAGACAACTCCTCACATAAAAACCACACGTTACAGATGTTTGTTACTCATAAATGCTGTCTCTGCACACACTATAATCCTAGTTCAGTTTAATATGGGAAAACGGGCCGGATTGTGTTTAAGAGCACCTGGTGAATAATGAGATGAAACAGAAATGTTGTCAGTTTAATCAGGTTAATCTGATTCTTTTTGCTGTGGAAAGCATCAATGGTCCAAAAGAGCTTTAATGTATGTCGGTTATAAAGAAAAACACTGGTTGTGAGGGCCAATGCTGAGTCAGCTGATTCGAATGTGCTTCAGACAGCTAACAGAAGGGTTTTCTTTTCTCTTTCCATTTCTGATTAACTTGAACGTTATGAGTCAGGAAGTGAAAACGTCCACGTAGAAGATCTGGTCCCACAAATTAGCTCCGACTGAGAAAGAGAAGTCAGCTGATTTTCTGTGTAAGTATGTTTGCAGAACATGCAGCATTTAAGGAACGTAAAAATCTGCCTAAAATAACCCATATTAGGATTACTGGAATTACAGAAGATGTAAATTTAGTTTTCAAACGGATGTTTTTATGCTGAGTCCAAAGACGCTGCATGAGATCTCCAAGCCAGTTAGAATTTTTTTTTATCTTTTTGTTTTAAAAAATCATTTAAATTCTTACAATTCAAGTTAGTCAAACACGCATGTGCCCATACACACACACACACACACACACACACACACACACACACACACACACACACACACACACACACACACACACGCGCATGCATGGGCATGCTTCCATGTCTCTTAAATCAGCTGGTATTATGAGTCACATCCTGTAGATTGTTGACCCCATGAGAAAGTCAGCAGCCAGGAGCTGATGAGCTTCCTGGAATCTCGTGTGAGATCAGGACCCCCCCCCCCCCCCCCCCCCCCACACACACACACACACACACACACATCTCCTCCCTGCCTGCCGTTCCAGACATGTTGTCCAGAGTCTCGCGTCACATTCCCTCTGGCTTCGCTCTCCCTCTTTAAACCCACTGCTGACTAGCGTAGGCGTAGCAACCATACCTGTCAGGTGTAGGCGAGTGCTACGTTTTAATTGGCTGAGGAGTTCAGGGGGACTAGTCACGCTGTGCTACATCACCTTTTAAAGTGCAGGCTGAGGCCGCTGGTGAGGAAACACGCGTGTTGGACTTTGGAAACGGCCGAGCTACTCACAGGTACGTGGATCTGTTTCCACACCGTGTTCTGTTCTCCTACGGTTTGTCGTTGATGAAGAGGAGTGGAGGAAGGGTGCCGAGCTGAACCTTTTCATTTCTCCAAAACGTAAGAACTGCACATCCATGTAACAGTTGGGGCTTTGTAGTTTGAGGTCTCACTTCTGGGCTGTGTCATTTTATTTTTATGGTCCCTTCCCTTTGTGAGACCGGCGTTTTAGTGCATCTGCTTTGTTTATAATCTCAAACTGACATTTGGCATTCCCAGCTTTCCTCATTTGTATTTTGATAGCGGGAGGTGATGAGCTGTAAGGTAGCTTTTACATCAGAGGGATTCAGAGCTTTGGGTGTGCTGCTTTAGCGTAGGAGGGGAGAGTTACATCCCACTGTGTTGGCTTTGTTGTTTCTTCAGAATTCCTAATTCTCCATAACACACTTGGAATTTTTGGGATGTAATTATATCAAGAAAGCTGTGAAACTCTTCTTAGACTCTGATTTGTCACATGGTTTTATTGTTCCTTTAGTTAAAATGTTAACATTTTTAGATTTTATCAAGGAAATGAAGAGATGCTCCACAGCCTTCCGTGCGACCGTTAAAAAAAGATTTTTACTTGATCCTAAATTATTTAGTTAAATCCTAAAAATAACGGCAATAAACAATAACTACTGCTTGTAGGGCAACGTTTTACCTGTAGAAAGTGGAAAACTAATACATTTCTTTTGCTACTGTTGATTAGCCCTGAAACGGGTCGAGCTAAGTCAGAGATCAGCCCACCGGAGGTGGAGCCCTGGGTCCAGACCCGCGAGGCCCTTGTGTGTGTGTGTGTGTGTGTGTGTGTGTGTGTGTGTGTGTGTGTGTGTGTGTGTGTGTGTGTGTGTGTGTGTGTGTCGGTAAGTCACAGATGAGTTATTTACATGTAGCTGCCTGTTGTTGCCCTTGGGGCTGTGAAGCTGAGACGAGACGTTGTGTGTGTGTGTGTGTGTGTGTGTGTGTGTGTGTGTGTGTGTGTGTGTGTGTGTGTGTGTGTGTGTGTGTGTGTGTGTGTGTGTGTGTGTGTCATATGAAATGGTGTGTAGACTGAAGCGTATGGGTGTGACGTGAGCGTACCGGTTGTCATGTCGCTGGTTGTTGCCTCAGGGCTCAGGTTGAGCAGGGAACAGATGGTCAGTGGGTCTGATGACGTCTTCCTATTGAATTTCTATCTCAGACGCTTTAGTCTGACAAACGATCAACTGCTCAGTGAGGTTTTGTATGTTCAGAGGTCTGAACTGGTCTCTTGGTGTGAAGCCAGTTTACCCACAAAGAAGCCATGTAAGCATGACTTATTCAGCGGTGTGAGGAGGGCACTGAACCAATATGAATGTACAGGAAGGAACCCAAACCCTTTGTCTGCTTGTTTTAGTTCAGCAAATTTGCAAAGAAGGAAGTGAACTCGACACCATTCAAATGGCTTTTTTGGTCTCTTTTGTGTTCTCTTGGTTAAGTGAGTTCCTGGAAAGCGTGCACGCAAACGGATAGCTGAGAAACAAGCCAAAGATGGCCTCCTTTGCACCATTCAGTCGCAGGCAGTGGGCGTCCCAGTCGCTGAGGGTCACCGCCAAGGAGCTGTCCATCGTTTCTGCCCGGGGCAAAAACACCGCCATCGCAGAACGCTTCGCCAGGTATGCCTCGTCCTGCTTCGGGTTTTCCACCAACAGATTAATAATTGACCAGAAGCTGAACTGTTTCAGTTCACTTTATCTCCAGCTTCTAATTAGAAATTAGGTCACTGGTTTTCATCCGACGCTTTTTGACCTCTCGGCTGTTCCCAGGTTTTTCTTTTCTCTAAGAATCACCCTTCAACACTATCCAATCCAATTTTATTTATAAAGCGCATTCACAAGGCATTACAACCAAACAAGGCGCTGTACACTAAAAATGTTAGTTAATTAAACAGGCGTTATATAAACATGTCGAACACAGATAAAAGATAAAAAGGAAAAACAACAAAATTCCCAAAAATAACAGCTAAAAATCAATAAGACACAGGGTGAAATAAAAATAGGAAAAAACATTTTACAAAGAACCTCAATAATACGGAAGTCGATAATTGTGAAGTCCATTTATAAACAGTGCAGATGTCAGTGAGGTCCATAATCATGTGGTATAAGCTAGGTTGAAGTAGTGAGTTTTCAGGCGTGATTTAAAAATGCTAGCTGTTGGTGCTAGCCTCACTAGCAGTGGTAATGCGTTCCACAGCTTCGGTGCACAGACAGAGAAAGCCCTTTCTCCACGGCTTTTTAAACGAGCATTGGGAACAGCTAGGAGGAGCGTATCTTCAGACCTGAGAGCATGCGGCGGGTTGTAGTAATGGACAAGTTCACACAGATATGGAGGAGCTTGATGGTTCAAGGATTTGTAAGTCAGAAGCATAATTTTGAAATTTATCCTGAACTGCACGGGCAACCAGTGGAGAGATTTCAGAATTGGAGAAATGTGTTGTCTTCTGTCAGCTCCAGTCAGCAACCTAGCTGCAGAATTCTGGACCAGCTGAAGTCTAGAAAGAGCTGCTTTACTGATGCCGTATAAGCAGGAGTTGGAGTAATCCAGCCTTGAAGTGATAAAAGTGTGGACCACGGATTTCAGAAGACAGACACTCAGGATGTGCTTTAGTTTTGAGATGCGTCTTAGTTGGTAAAAACATGATTTAACTGTTATTGACCTGGGCATCCATCTTCAGAGCCTGGTCCATTTTTACTCCAAGGTTGGAGATTACAGAGGATACATTAGGTGAGAGATAGTTGAGGTCAGGTTGTTGAGTTGCCGTGGTACTGTAAGGACTGAAAATGATTAAGTCAGTTTTGGAGTCATTGAGATGGAGGAAGTTGTCAGCTAGCCATTGCTTGACCTCAAGGATACACTAACCAGTCACTCCAGTTCATCTGTGGCTCCTTCAGGTTTTTGTTGACTTTCCTGAGTGAAACTGAGATGTTTTGTCTTTGTGGTCTGCATTTCCTTTCACCTCACCAAGTTACAGCCTTGTAAAATGAGTGGATGGCTGTGCTTTCTCCCTCTGACCTTTAGGTGGCAGCACTGCTCTCCTTGCATGAGCTGTGCTCATTATACTGGTGTCACTTGCACAGCTACAAGCATTTTTCTGGTAATCAATTTTAAACCTTTGGCATTCCAATGTCCCGCCTCTGGAACAAAATGCATTAGTCATGTGATCCAGATGATCAATTAAAACAATGACTTTATGAGATGTTGCTCGTGCAGATGGACCATCATATTCATATTCTTTAGACCTAAGTCGGACGGAGTTACCAGTGAGAATTGTGTGAGTTCGTATTTTACAAATATCCTTTCGTCAAATTTCTGTACATGATGATAAAACATGAAATGATGTTTCATAATGTTTGGTAATTTTGTCTCCCATCCAGGATTACCTTAGGGAAAGTTCGACACGCAGGGGTTATAATAATCAGCTGATCAAAACCATAAACCAATAATCGACCAACAAAACAATTTAGACTTTGCAAGGTGGAGACATGAAATACACACCACACAGAGGTCTGACACTTCACTCTCATCTGACAAAGTCCTCCAAGAGTATTTATTAAGCAGCCACACAAGAAGATAAACGCACACACAGTTCTCACAGCCTCTCAGGCAGGAAGGCACTCCAGGTGCAATTTCTAAAACAACAGAGCTGTCTGGCCCATGACCCAGAGTACTACTGATAAGGAGGCAGCACCAAGTCTGGTACCGAGGGCAAGGACGATCCTCCCGTTAGAGCTTACAAAAGCCTGTCCGTTCCCAGAGAAATAGAAATGGATGAACCTTCGTTTAACGTCCAGATGTCTAACCATTAAAGGCATTATTAACAGTAATATCAGTTTTTATCCAACACGTCTATAGAATGCCGACTTTATTTAGAGCAGGCTTATATTGAGTCACATACCTGGTTTCATTGTTAAAAAGCTGAAATGTTTTTGGTTGTGTGTGTTCAGTGCTTCAGGAAACTGATCCGAGGTCCGTGTTTGATCAGCATGCACTTGAATATAAAAGGAAGCTGAGATGAGAGAGGAAGTCATTTAAGCCCCAACAAAAGTCAATATAGTCGTAGTGATGCTCAACATAATGCGGCTCAAGATTTTTCATGCAGATAACCTGATGTTACTGATGTGCAGCAGAAACGTTTCATTCTATTTCCCGACTGAGTCATGCAGCTGTTTCTGGTTCAAACTTGTCCTCATTGCCTTCATCCTTCACAGATACCAGAAAGCTGCAGAGGGAGGGAGCAGAGAGAAGAAAACGGTAGGTGCTCCTAAGTTTTGTAGACCTCTGCACCTGTACCTGAAAGTACTTTGGTGCCATCTTTCCTTCTGAATCACACGATAGTTACAGCAGAGAAGTGTGTGTGTGTGTGTTTGTCATAAAACAGAAACTGTTCACAGAGAGAGAAGGAGGATATAACCTGAGAGGGACACTAAACTTAAAGATACATAAGTTTAGAACAACATTAAAACAGATGTGTATCACAATAATAGGGGTTAAATTATGGAACAATTTAGAAGAAGAAATCAAAGTAAGTACAACTATAAATGTGTTTAAAATGAATTATAAAAAACTTATTCTGAACAAGTATATAGTGGAAAATAGATGATTTATGTGGGTGTCCTTTATTCCAAGGAAAAGTAAATTGTATCAATTGTAAAAAGATGTTTTTTTTCTCCTTTTTTTTGTTTTTTTTCCATATAATTTGGGGTTTTTTGGTGACTTGTACCATTTTATTTGTTTTAATGTAGGTTTTGTGTTAGATTTAGTAAACAAGTAAAAATTACTTGTATAAAGGGGTAGGGATATATAAGTTTCCACTTCAGCCTACTCCTTTTCAAACAGAGAAGAAGGGATGATATGTATTTTTTCTGTTTGTGGTATTTAAAAAAAATATGTATGTTTTCTTTGTTTGAAATAAACTAAACTAATGACTAATGACTAAATTAAGCCATGATGGTCTCATAAGGCACAGGTGTCTAACTCTGGCCCTCGGGCCAAATCTGGTCCACAGTCTATTTATATTTGACGCATTTGCAGAAAACGCTACAAATCTCATGGTGCTTTGCAGCGTTATTGCATCCTCCTTTTCTGTTCAGTCTTTTTGCATCCGTGCTGTACTCTCATCAGTCTTGGACCAACTGAAATACTCCTCTTCCTTTGCGATTTTCTAACTTTAAAGCTCAGAAGTCCAGATTTCAACAGCTCAGTATTGTGTTCACAGTTGACTTGGAAAGCGCACCAGCCAGCCTCCAGAGCTGGTTGAATTCCAGCGTTGCAACACACTCAAGTCAGAGTATGACTGTGTCTTTCCTCCCTGACACACTGACCCAACTCCGTGCACTATGAGCAGCATATAGTTGACCTTTGATGAAGATGAACTAAACACAGTAGTTTTTTCCCTGAACACTTTCCTTAGCCCAGATATTGATGCACTTGCATCTAAAACGAGTTGCCAGGTTCCTGGATCGAATGTGCATCAAATTAAATAATTAGTGTAATACACACGAAATACAGTAAAAAGTGCATAAAACAAATCACAAAGCAGGAAAACAGTTTCTCTCAAGATTTGTGCAAACAGATGTCCTTAAATCACCAGTGTGTTTAACTCTATTGCTTGCGAATGCTCATTTTAGATTTCCGTTCTGATCTTAGACAGTGCTGCTAACGAAAGTTAAACAGATATTGGTGATATTGTTGAAGTCAGCTGTGTTTATAAACAGCATTTCAAACTGTGTTTAATAAATTCAAGGTCTTCTTTTCTGTTCTGACCAAAAGGATGACATTATCTATGACAAGGAATGGATTTGTCAATACCTTCATTCAGAACGGTGAAGTTCCTGTCATTGCAGGATGGCTGGAACACATATTGTCGTTCTTTTTTTTAAAACACAGAAACGGTTTTGTTACCTGTTGACGCTACGTTTCGCCTACGGCTGCCGGCTTCTTCAGGCTGACGCTGATGGTGGCGCGTTCCTTCCTTCTCCGTTTATCTGCGGGCAGCAGAGGACGTTGCCGCCCTCTACTGCCCGCTGTCCCCTCTCCGACGATGCAGTCCCATGCGTGGTCCAGCGTGTAAACTCCGTCGTCCCTGTTCATGGTCCTCTGCTGCCCGCAGATAAACAGAGAAGGAAGGGACGCGCCACCATCAGCGTCAGCCTGAAGAAGCCGGCAGCCGTCGGCAAAACGTAGCGTCAACAGGTAACAAAACCGTTTCTGTGTTTTAAAAAAAGAACGACAATATGGAATTAGAACGACACAGCAAGAACACACCTAAGGCTGGAACACATTCTCAGATGATTCAAGAGGCCAAATCCTGAAAAGGCAAGGTAACCCCCAAATTCCACTTCCTCCGCTCCGCTCCGGTCCGCCCCCGCCTTCCGCAGCCGCTCGCTTCCGAACTCAATTTTTACTGGTACCCGCTCTACAACGGCTCCGCTCCGGTGCGGAGACCTGAGGGGGGCAAACAAGCATGCGCGGGATTTTCGAGATCTTGCGATACAGTCCGAGCAATAAACGCGGAAGTTAGATCCAAACACCCGTTGTGTGGGAGAAGCATCGAACTGAACTGTTTAATCTGCCCATCATTTGTGTTGAGAGATCAGCAGTGTTTGGATCAACAAAGTGTGACTACTTTGATAGTGGAAACTGTATTTATGGCTTACTTTTGTGCATTTAAACTTCAGCCGCCATTGATAGTTGTTAAAAGTTGTTAAACCTGTGCATATGAAACAAAAAACGCCTTTTGTTTATCGATTTATTGTGAAAAACGGAAGTTGTGCTTGCTCCTTTTCCTGTTGGGCGGTTGTGATTCCTGTCGATTTACTGCGGAGGTGCTCCGGCGTCCGGCAAAAATAGGATCGATTCTATTTTTGCCGGATGCCGGAACAGAGGGCGGCGCACGGCGCCGCACTGCTGGAGCACGGCCGCAGTAGTGGAATTGCTCTGATTGACTACAACGGGACCGATTTTGCTCCGGCGTTCGTGTCGGAGCGGAGCAGAGGTAGTGGAATTTGGGGGTAATTGGTGTCTATCTGGATCTGGCCAATGCATATTGCTCAATCCCTCATACCTTCGTCAAAGCAGCATTGGACTACAACACCACCCCCCAGCGCATAAAAAGATAAATCAGCTGCTATTAGGAAGCAATCTAGCTAAGTTTCAGGATAGCCCAGTTTACAACTTAGTGGCAGCATCTGGAAGAAGGCATTGTAACTGGATGTACCTTGTCCCCTTTCTCTTTGTAATGGGAATGAACCTCCTAATAACGGGTGGAGAAGTAAGCCCAGAGCCAAAAATGGACTCGGGTATTTGACAACAACCTGTAAAAGGCTACAATAGATGACCTTGCCGTGATGACCACAACCCATGTGGAGGCAAAAGGGGTGCCAAGATCTCTGGAACACATGATAAAATGGGCCAAAATGAAGTTCAAGGCAAAGAAGTCCAGAAGCGTAGTATGAAGGGGGAGGTGAGAAGCAGATTGAAGCTGTGTGTACAGGACAAAGTGATGCAAACAATAGAGGAAAATCTAAAAGAGTGTCTCAGAAACTGGTTTGATGATTCGCTAAGCAACGGGGATAATGTGTCACTAGTACGGAGAAGCAAATGGAAAAATTCTTGAAGGATCATAAAAATCGAGGCTTCCAGGGAGGTTTAAAGCATGGCTCTGTCAACATGGCTTGTTGCCAGGACTTGTGTACAAAATGTCACATGTGTCGAAGGATTGGAGAAGATCATCAAGTATCTCTGGAGGTTTTTGGGAATCCCTCCAAGTGTTTCTGCTGTTGGTCTCTACATAAAATCAGGGCAGCTCCAACTTTGTCTGTTATCAGTGGTGGAAGTTGAAAAGTACGTCGTAGTGACATACAGAGACTCAGGATAAACAAGTCAGACGAGCAGGAGCCACTACAAGGTCAGGACATAAGTGGGAAGCTGACTCATAAGTCGCACAAGCATGTTGAGGCTACGTGACATCATTGGTGTGCGTGCATGGAAAGACCGATTCCAGGGAGAGGCGAGCCATGATTCAAGAGGAAGTACGAAACTTGTGAAATGAAAAGCGAAGGTCAAGAGCTTTTCAGGAGGGAGCATGGACAAAAATGGACTTCCCCAAGAGGAAAATCACCTTGGCGGTGATGTGGAGACTGGAGCCATTCTGCATCACTTTCTTGCCGATGGCAGACGCACTCTCCCAACCTCAACAAATTTGTACAAGTGGGGTATGAGAGAAGACCCGTCATGTTGGGATAGAGGCGCCGTAATGCACATCCTGTTTGTTTGTTTATTTAGATCCCCATTAGCTGCTGACATATAGCCGCTATTCTTCCTGGGGTCTCATCTCATACAATCATCACATTTTATATACATACACGTATTGTGCTCATCGTTCACACACACACACACACACACACACACACACACACACACACACACACACACACACACACACACACACACACACACACACACACACACACACACACACACACACACACACACACACACACACACACACACACACACACACACACACACACACACACACACACACCCCCATTTCACTTCAACATAAAATTGCAGTATAGAAAAATCACAATTAAATTCTCAAAGCCCTAACATACCAAAATACATTCATAAACCATGAAATACAGCTCACTTATTAAAGATGTTTAGCTTGACATTATCTTTGGCAAAATAAAAATATTTGGATTTTTTTCTGGGTGCAGAACAGCATTAGAGCAAAGACTGTACAGGTGGCACCCCAACATGGTGCTTTCGACACTTGCCAATGTGCTAGATCAGGAGAGGAGGAAGAAACGTCGACCATCCCTGATAAGAGCAACCCATTTCGTAAAGGAGGTGGAGAAATCCACATCTGCACCAAAAGCATGTACTGGGCTGCTTGCAGATAGATTATGGGAATTAAAGGTTGACTTGCAGGGAAGGTTGAAGTTCCCCCAGATTGTACAGATATCTCTGAAGCCGGATGTGGTTCTATGGTCTTGTGGCAGTGGGAGCGTCCTGTCACAGTGCCCCGATTGATCAAGCGCCCTGGCTACTTGGCCAAGGGGATGTCCCTTTGGCTGACTGGTTAGCGAGCATGCCTCTCACCCGGGAGTTGGGGATCAAATCCCACCCGGGCCCTCGTTTCTCCACCTTGCCACAGTCTGGAGAAGATTTAAAGAATCATCCTCATAGAACTTACGGTCCCATTGGAGGAGGGGTGTGAATAGGCCTTCGAAAGAGTGTCAAATACC